ACTATGTCACACTCGGTTGGGCTCCAGATGCTGTGGCAGCTGACCACTAGATGGCACCAGGAGAACATGTCTACCTCGCTAACAATGAACTTCAAAGGGTTGAAAGAGCTCACATCTTCAGTCCTAAAATAGCAAGGTTGTCCGACCACACAAGTGACAGCAGGGTGACTGAAATACCAAACACCATTCCTCTAGAATGAATGGTTTAAACACTTGTGGGGTTTTTGGTGTTGCTTTTTAAAACTTTTTGTTTCATGTGTATTGGTGTTTTGCCTGCATGTATGTCTATATGAACCTGTCAAATCCCCTTGAACTGGAGTTGCAGACAGTTGTGAGCTGCTGTATGGATTCTGGGAATTGAACATGGTCCTCTGGAAGAGCAGCAGGTGCTCTTAATCACTGAGCTGTCTCTTCAGCCCCTAAACACTTATTTTGTTTTGTTTGTTAAGATTTATTTATCTATTTATTTATTATGTATACAGTTTTCTGTCTGCACATTCACCTGCACACCAGAAGAGGGCACCAGATCTCATTATAGATGGTTGTGAGCCACCATGTGGTTGCTGGGAATTGAACTCAGGACCTCTGGAAGAGCAGCCAATGCTCCTAACCGTTGAGCCATCTCTCTAGCCCCTAAACAGTAGTTTTTTAAAGTGTACACAAAATCGGTAATAAGAAACCACTGTAAGCCAGATGTAGTGGTGCCTGCCTTTAATGCCAGGAGGCAGAAGCAGAGGCAGGTGTAGCTCTGTGAGTTCGAGGCCAGCCTACTGTACACAGAATTCCAGGACAGCCAGGGCTACATAGTAAGGCCCTGTCTTTAAAAAGATGTTGGTGGGAGAAAGAGCCTGGCATAGTGGCGCACGCCTTTAATCCCAGCACTCAGCACTCGGGAGAAACAAAAAAAAACTCAAAAACAAAACAAAACAAAACAAAAAACCTGAGGAGTCTGGAGAGATGAGTCAATGATGAAGAGCTCTGGCTGCTTTTGCAAAGAAACTGATTTTGGTTCCCAGCACCCACATGGTAGCTCACAGCCATCTATCACTCCAGTTCCAAGGGATCTGACACCACCTTCTAGGTTCCTCAGGCACCAGGTAAACACTCATACACATAAATGAGACTCGTAAAGCCACTGGAGATGTTAGCTTAGTGGTAAGAGTGCTTGCCTGGCATGAACCAAGTCCCGAGTTTGATCCCTAGCACCACATAAGTCAGGCATGGTGCTGAGCACCATGAATCTCACACTTGGAGGTTAGGGTAATCAGAGGCTCAAGTCATCCTCAGCTACAAAGCTAGTTCAAGGCCAACCTGAGCTATATGAAACACCGTCTGGGAAAAAAAAAAAAAAAAAAAAAAAAAAAAAAGCGCCACTGGAGTATCTCATGTTGCTGTATAGGACAAGCACCTCCAGGATCATGGTATTTGTTGATCCTTCTGTGTCCCCAGTAACCACACAATTAGATGGAGGTTGCTGTGACTTTGAGAAAAAAAACGGAGAAGGTCCGTTATTCAGCCTGTTCACCCCGCCCCAGCTTTTGCTGCTGTTGCTTGTTTTGTTCTTTTGTCGGGGGAGGTGCTGAGGATTGAATCAGGACTCTTCGAATGCTACACCCCCTGCTTCTCTGGATCACACAACTCAGATAACTTCCAATTCTGTCTTATCACATCTGGGTGTGTTTCCAGAGCATGCACCCCACCGGGCTTAGGTGGGTACTGTGTAACCAGGCTGCAGGTGTCTGTCTACTCATGGACCAGCGTGCTTTGCTGTGTGTCTATCTATCAGGCCATGGTGTGTGTGTGTGTGTGTGTGTGTGTGTGTGTGGTAGTCAATGTCTTGGTATCCAGTTGGCTTTGGTGGACAGTGTGCATAGTACAGGTTGTGTCACCGTGTCTCGGTGTCTGCTGGAGACAGTGCTTTTGTTAGATGACAGTGGTGTGTACGTTGCACTTTTAGATGTACTGTCCTGAGTGTGGTGGAGTGCTGGGGATAGTTGACATTTTGTCTAGTGCGATGGTGCCTCACAGAAAACATGTTTGGTGACCGTATTGCATGCTTCTCTTGTGTTTCTGTGTATGGTATATGCGTGTGTGGTATTCTGTATGTGTGGGATCAGTCCTTGCCTCTTTTTTTCTTCATCACAGCAAGACTTGGGTCTATGCATGCTTCAGGGAATTTGGTTCCCATTAGGCCTACATGATTCATGAGCTCTGCTCTGATTCTTTCAGCATGCCTAGTGCGTGTGTTGCACAGTCTCTTGTGTTCCTATGTCTGCCGGGTTTTATGTGTCCCCTGCCTTCTGTTTGTGTGATCTGGGGGCTGACCGTCCCCTCCGCATTGCTGAGGGCTCCTGATGGGGGTTGTCTGATGCTTGTGTTTTGATGCTAGTTACTGGCTCTCAACATCCCGTGACTGCCCGGATACACCTGCCTAAGATATTACACCCGAGTGGTTGATGAAAGGCCTAAAACCTGGGCAGCACAGAACAGGATAGACATGGCTAAGGCTCCTCAGCCTTGGGCTCAAGAGAATCACAGGAAAGAGAAAGACGGATGCGAAGAGAGAAGGAGGACTCCACAATGGGTTAGAATGGGAAAAAAAAACCACGTGGGCTGGGAGGAAGGACTCCAAGGATGGCATAGATGAAAAAAATATATATAAGCAAGTATTCATAAGATTATGGATGGAAGGTAGCCAGCCAGGTGAGGCTGGTTAAGGAGGATGGCAGCGAATGGGGAATGGAAAATGGATGGTGAAATAGCATTTTTGAAATAGCTATTTTTGAAATAGCATAGATGAAATTATCTAGGTATCTTAAGGCAATTAGAAAGTCTAACTGGTGTCTGTGTTTTACTTGATCATGATAACGGGTAAAATAATGCCGCCACATTAATTATAGGGCTAATAATAAATAACATTATATAGCCCAACACCAACTCTACCTACTACAGCAGCTCACTAGACTGTGTGGCAGGGTGTGTCCCTGGCGTGCCCACGCAGTGCTGCAGGGTGCCCGTGTTGGACGTGATGGTCCATCTGGAGGATGGTGTTTTCTAGCTGCCTCTGCGTGTCTTGGGGCATTCCCGAGCCTTGATGAGTGTGTGTCTCTGTTTCTTTGGATGCAGTCATGTGCAGGGTGCATGCTGCTGTGGGTTCTGTGTATCTGGGCCACTCCGGTTTGTCAGACATGTGTTTTGCATTGAGTGTGTTGGTATTTCTTTGCATCTAGTGGCAAAGGTACGCGCGCCCCAAGACAGGCAACTGCTGGTGTGTGCACTGTCTGGCACAGCCTGGCCGCTCCTGAGTGATATGTGCTACATCCTGCTGGAAACCAGACGGAGCCCAGGCCCCTCTACAGTCCCCACATTCCTTTGTGCTCTGTGCTACAAAAAAATATTTGCGTTTTCCACGACTCATAATTTTTCCTCCTCAATCACTACCAGATGTGAGCTCTGTGGTCCCCATCCCCATGGCAACGGAGGTTCCAGCAGCCGTGGTTCCCTTTTGTGGCGCCTGCCCTGGGAGCTGGCACCATTGCAAGCCCGGGGGGGGGGGGGGGAAGAGTACTGGGTGGTGAAAGACATTTAAGGGGAACTCTCTCCGGGGTGGGGATAGGTGGCAGGACTGACTGATGGAAAGTACTGGTCTTTGCTCTGAGAGGCTCCTGCAGGTCAGGCTTCCTGGACAGTGGGAGGAGAGGCCCCAGGCCAGCACTGAGACATTCTTGGACTGCCTAAATCATACCAGTTCAGACTAGGGAAATGGAGGGCTAGAATAAGGAATTGAGCGAGAGGCCATGTGGCTTGGTGGGGAACAGAATGGGCCAGAGCGGGACTTAAGATGCTCCACACTACACTGACTTCCGCCTTGGCCTCTGCCCCTTTCTGGCTGGCACTGAGCCTGACCTCAGCCCCAGAAGCTAGTATGACTTGGTGCCTCAATGGACCAGAGGCCAATCAAACCGTAAGACCATAGCAGGAAGGTGCCTTGCCAGTGGGAAACACCCGGCCAGAAACAACAAGACTGCCAAGCACATGCTGCCCCGTCAGGCCAGCCCATTAGCTTCTCTGGACACTGTCTTCACTCTGGTGACAGAACCCCTGTGTGGGACCAAAGCTGACCTCAAAGTGGTACTTGACCAGAGAACAAGGGTCCTGACAAAGAGAGCCCCTGAGTTGCCAGCTTTGGAAATGCACGAAGCTAGGAAGATTTTGGCAGAACCAGATTCTGAGCTGGGCGTTAGGAAAAGTGCTGGAGAGTTGGCTCTGCAGCTAAGAGCATTCTTTTACCCTCGCTGAAGACCCACATTGGACTCCCAGCACCCACATGGCTTCATACTTGGAAAGCTGGGCCAGAAGTTCAAGGCCACACTGGGCTCCAACATGAGGCCCTGTCTCAACAACAACAACAACAAAAGATGGCAGCGACCAGAAGGGAGTCTGCTAGAGGCAGGGGGTAGGAGGAACCAAAACAGATGGCTTACGGAAACTAAGATGGTCACTAGGAACCCTGGAGGAGAATAGGTCCAAGGCTCAGTCAGAAGTCTGCCAGGAGAGGTGAGGGTGCTAGGGTGGGATGGAGACAGACCTTGTCTCCAGGGAAGGCTAAGCAGGCTGCCTTCCCTCTTCTTCCCCTACTTGCAGCATGTGGAGATGGGTGGAAAGGTTTTTAGTGAGGACAAGCTACCTATTGAGGCAGACAGCAGCTTCTGCAGTGACAGGCTGCTTGGAGAAGCCTGGCTAGCTGGAGGCTGGGCCCATTGCCCATTGTCCCTTGCCCTCATCTCTGTCTCACCAGAAAAGTTTCTGATCTCTGGACCCTGCTAGCTCAGATCCACCCTTCTTTCCAAGTGACAGCTCAGGACTGCTGGATTTGGCACATCGTTCCCGGAGACTCCAAGGAGGAGTCTAGAAACTGCTGCACACAGGTTCCACAAGAGCCGCCCCCCCCCCCACCCCCCATCTCAGGCAGGAAGTAATCAAGGCACAGGAAGTGGGGAGAAGCATTTTATTAAGAAAGCTTTGGCCTGGCCCTGCTAGGAGCCCTTCCTGGAGGCCCCAGATGGAATGGGAACAGCCCTGCCTGGGGCCTATAAATACATCTAAGGCCAGCAGAGTCGCCCCTGGGGTTCCCACAATTGTGGGGTGATGGGAGGCCATCAATACCAGCTTGACAGCTGAGGGACCGGGACCGGGGCTGGTGGTGGTGGGAAGAGGACAAGCCAAGGTGGGCTGAGCCCCCTGAGGAGCAGAGACCAGCTCTCCTCCACAGACAGGTTCGAGTCAATCAGATAACTCAGGGGCGCAGTCAGTGGAAGCAACCTCTGACCATCTTCAAGAAAAAGACCTTCCAGCCTGCCATAGGCACCAGGCCCTGGCAAAGGAGAGACAGCCAAGAGGCAGAAGCGGTGCTGGCGTCAGCCAGCGACAAGATAGCCCAGCCAAGCACACCCTTTGGCCAGTAAGAAGTCTGCAGGCTCTCCCAAGCTTTGGCAGATTACTAGAAAAGCTCCCTAACACTGCTAGTGGGAGCGAGTAGCCAGCTAAGGGTCTTCTCAGACCCGAGAGCAGATCCGACCAGGCGGCGGCTGCTGGAGCCGGGGCCAATCACCCAGGCTCGGGCCGTCGCTGCGGCGCGCGGGGAACGATGGCGAGCGCCGCGGGGGCCGCGGGCCTACGGAGCTGCGGGCGCCCCGGCTGGCCTGCTCGGCTCCCCCGCCGCCTCCCTGCTCTTCTTCCGAGGAGGTTTCTGGATGGGGGTCTTCTTCCGAGGGGTCTCGGGCGCAGGCGCACTGGCCGCCGCCTTCTCGGGCTCCGGGATCTCGGGCGCCTCGGACGCGCGGGCCGCCGAGGCGGGGAGCACGGAGCGCTTGGCCTTCTGCGGCGGCGGCGGCTTCTCGCGCGCCCCCTGCGGGCCCTCGGCGCGGCCCAGGGTGCGAGGCTTGTCTCGAAGCTCGGCCGCCAGCAAAGATGCCGCCTCGGGCGCGCTGCGCGGGGGGCCGCCCGCGTCCGTGGGCTCCGGGAGCCCAGGGCCGCGGCCGCGCGCTCGGGCCCGGGGCGGCGTGGGGGCGGCCGGGGCGGGGGCCTCCTCCGCCGGGCTGGCGGGCTGCACCGACGTGTTGCTGGGGGTCCGTTTCCTCCCGCTAGGGCTGGGCGCGGCCTTGCGGCCCGCGGGCGGCGGCGACGGGGCGGCGGCCGCGCCGCTGTGTTTGCCGTGGATCCAGGACACCTTGGGCTTCGTAGCGGGGTCGGGTGGCGGCGGTTTCCTGCGCTCGGGCGACGGGGACAGCGACAAGCCCCCAGCCTCACCTCGGGCCCTAGCCGGCCGGGCCTCGCGCCGGGCCACGCGCGCGTACAGCGCCCCGCCGGGCCCCTCCACGCTGGACGCCGAGCGCTCGCTGTCTGAGGATGCAGGGAGGGCCGCTGCCTCCTCCGTGGGCGCCCGGGTGCTCGTGGGCACTGGGGACGCGGCGGGCACCTCCGCGAGAACGGCAGGAGCTTCCGGCTCTCGGCTCTCAGCAGGGGCTTCTAAAAGGGGAGAACGAGCGAGTCACAAGAATAGAGCTGGTGGATCCAACTTCCACGCGGGACCCTCCCACTGTCGGAGGCCCCGGGCGTCCCCGTGTGATCACGTAGGCATGCCTGGTACGTTCAGAGCACTACCCCAAACTTGGTGGGAATATCCAGGGTGTGGGCTGACTGCTGTGGAATGCGGGATACTTTTAGAGGGCTCAGACTCTGTGCCCCTCCCTCGCCACGCCCAGCCTCGGGGGTCACAGTCATGAACTTTAAGTGGATTCATGCCCTTTAAGATGTAAGGTTTCTGATGTTGATGTTTGGGCAGACTTGCCCAAAGTCACCTAGTGGCACCAAAGTAGGACGGGCCAGTTCCATTGCCCATTTAGATCCGGTCCCAAGTGAGCCCACCTACTCCACGATTCACCCGGGCAGAACAGAAGTGGGCAGCTTTGTAGCTGCAGGTCTGTGGCCAATTTGGTGCCCTGATCCCCATGCCTCCACCTCCAGATAACAGGGCCATTTCGCTCTGCTAGCTGGAGGGATGGATGCCCATACAGGGCCACACTCACCCTCATGGGGCACACAGTACACAGGGCCTTCGTCTGTGGTGTCAAAGGATGAGAAGGAAGCCCTGGACGACCATGATAGAGAGGGCTGCTCCAGCCCTGAGGGGGGTTCCAGGAAACTGCAGTTGAGCGTGTTGTCTAGGTCATGGTGGGCCACTAGGGGAAAAGATGAATGAGGAGGATTGCCAGGGTGCTTACCTTTTCCGAGTCCATACCCTTAACCAATAAAACGTGAATGTCGTGGTCCTGGCCAGTCCTACAGAAAGCTACAGGGCGGGACATCAGGCTAACCTCAGTCCCGCTGGATCAGGGCTGTGCTTAGCAAGGAACCCAGGAGAGGGAAGCATGAAGGAGGCTGGTTAGTGGTAGTGCATGCCTGTAACCCCAGCGCTCGAAAGCCCGAGAACCGGTCACTGTGAGCTCCATGCTAGTCCAGGCTACACAGGTTGGTCCAGGACACTGGCCCACAGTGGGGACCCTGTCCCCCCAAACAAAACAGGGGCTGGAGAAACGGTTACGAGCACCGGCTGCACTTCCGGAGGATCTGGATTTGCTTCCCAGGGCCCTCATGGCAGCTCAGAGCCATCTGTAAATAAGTCCAGAGGATCGGATGCCCTCCTCTGACCCCCGTGGGCACCAGGCACACAAGTGGTGCATACACACACGCGCACGCGCACGCACACGCACACAAAATGAGTAAAAGAATTTTAAAACATATTTTAAAAATCAACAAGAGAAAGATGCCACCCAAATGCTGCCAGCCGGGGAGCTGGAAGAGTAGACCAGGTGTTAGGAAGCACAGAGACTCTAGTGCACATGGCCAGGAAAGGCCTCCACGATCCCCAAACAACTCTGGACTCCCGCCTGGTGGGAGCACTTGGAACTCAAATGTGCAGGGGCAAGATTGCTACTCTTTCACCTCCTCAGAGACTGACCGGTCCCCACCAATCTTCAGAAAGAAGTTGCCTAAAGGGAGGGGGACCTCTCGCCTGTCACCACATCAGAGTTCCTGGTGGTGACTGCAGGGGAGGGGGCCCGGCCGGAGCTTTCCCAGGAAGAGCTCCAGTAACTGTTGGGAACCAACCAAACTGTTGCGTGTGCTTCACTTTGGGGTTCACGTTCACCCACACATGTCCCGCTAGTTCCCCGGCAGCTCTGCATCTCAGTGTAGAGACCCAAAGGTCAGATGGCCTGCCAGGCGATCACTCCTGGGTCCCCATGACTCCCACCCCCCCAACATCTGCCCACACATCTGGGCCTCCTTCCTTCCTCCCCTTACAGCTTCGCCCATGGTAACCTCCCCCCTTCCTTCCTCCAGTCGCACCTTTCCACTCCCACACATTAAAACTCAAAGCCCCCACTTCCACATTGCGTCCTGTACCCCTTCACACCGTTTGCTAGAAGCTCCTGCTTCCGCTGAGTTCCAGAGCCCAGGTTCTCACCTACGACTTTGGGCAGCTTCTGCCTGCGAAGCGGGATCCGGGGCAGCTTCATGCTGATGCGGCTGAAGCTCCCGCAGAGGCGCTGAGGGGCCTTCTTCCTTCCGAGCCTGAGTTCCCTGCGGGGGCGGGGCCTGAGCGAGGGGGCAGGGCGGGACTGGCGGGGGTTCAGTCTCGGTGGGAACAGAAAGGGGAGGGCCTGGAGAGAGATGGGGCTGGGCCCTGCCCCTGGGGTGGGGTCTGGGTTCAAGGAGCACACCGGGTCACTCGGAGCGCGCTTTCTAAACCGGGCGGTGGGCGGGGGCTGGCGTGGGGCCTCACCGGCGCTCCGAGTCCTTGCCTCGGCAGGCGCAGCAGCAGCCGAGCAGAGACAGCAGCAGGCCCAGAAGCAGCGTGAGCAGCGCGCCCGCGCCCATCACACCTTTGCGCTGATTGGTCTCTGTGGGGAGCAGCAGCTCAGCGCAGGATCACGCACCCCACTTCATTTCCCGGGCCCGACGTTCTTCACCCACTCACCCAGGTGGCAGGCACCGGTGACCGGGTCGCACGAGTCTTCGTGACAGCTGCAGGCCTGGGCGCAGTCCACGCCGTGGAGCCCGGCCGGGCAGGTGACGTTACAGCTGCAAAGTTTGGGGGTCAAGGAATGCCGGGGTGGCCCTCCTTTCCCTGTCCGGGCCGCCTCTGCTGGCTGGTCCCGGCGCCCTAACCACGCCTCTGACCCTCTCCTCTAGAGGCGGAAGGCCACCCCACCTGCGGTGGCGCACTCGGCTTGTAACTACCGTTTAGGAATGAATGTGTATCTGCAGGAGAGGGCTGACTGTTGTGTGAGTGGGAAAAGGAGCTCCCGGCCCAGACCAGTGACCCGCTCGCTCTGCGTCCTATCTGTTTCACACCAGGATGCCACTTGGCTAGCCTGCAGTCTGAGGGCTTCCTAGCACTCCCTCCTGGAGCGGGGGTCCCTGAGGGCTGGCTGGCGCCCCGGGGCCGGGCACCCATTCCCCATCCCTCTGCAGGCCCCCACTCACTGAGGTCCGTGGACACCAGGGCTGCAGAGGCAGCGCCCGGACTGGAAGTCACAGTGGCCGCTGCCGCAGTCAGAGCACACGAACGCACAGTCCTCACCGTACGTGCCGTTGCTGCATTTAGTCTCGCACCTTGGCATCGAGAGAGGAGGCGTGAGCCGAAACGCAAGCCAGAGGCCGCGAGGCCTGTGGAGCCCACCGCGCGCGGGGGGGGGGGGGTCGGGGGGGGGGGCCTGCCAGGGCCCGAGCGGGCGGGGGCTGCTCACCGGTCGCCGATCCAGCCCGCGTTGCAGCGCGTACACTTGCCGGTGACATGGTTGCAGGCGTGCCCGTCGCGGCAGGGTGGGCAACGGTGGCTACAACCCTCGCCGTAGAAGCCCGTGGCGCAGGGTTGGTCACACTTGGTCCCGTTCCAGCCGGGCTCGCAAGTCAGGCAGCGGCCTTCCACCACGGTGCACGGCTGCTGGCCTTTGCACTGGCCACACCTAGGGCAGAGTCGGGAGGCTGGGCCGGATGGAGCTCCGCCCCCCTCCCGCCTGCCCGCCGCCGGGCCCGCCCGCTTACCGGCGGCGGCAGCCCAGGCCGTAGAAGCCCGCGGGGCACGGCTCGCGGCAGTACTTGCCCCGGTAGCCCGGGTCACAGGCGCACGTGCCGTCCACCGGGTGGCAGCGGCCGCGGAAGCACTGGCAGTAGCGGTCGCAGCGGGCCCCGAACGTGCGCTCGCGGCACTGGCAGCGGCCGCTCTGCTGCTCGCAGGGCGACGAGTTGCAGGCGCACTGGTTGTTGCAGCTGCGGCCCCACCAGCCCGCGTGGCACAGGCAGGCGCCGGTCTGTGGGTCGCAGCGCGACGTGGCGCTGCAGTAGCACGCGCTGCCGCACTGCGCGCCCCACCAGCCCGGCTCGCAGCGGCACGCGCCGCTCCGCGGGTGGCACGTGCCGTGCTGGCACTGGCACGCATGCTCGCAGCGCGCGCCCCAGCGGCGCGCGTGACACGTGCACTGGCCCGTCACGTCCTCGCACTGGCCGTGCGGGTGGCAGCTGCACCTCTCCTTGCAGTCGGGGCCCCAGAACTGGCGCGGGCACTCTGCACGAACCGGGTGGGGTCGTTAGCCTGGCCCCCGCGACCCCTCAGCTCCGCCACAGCCATCGCCCGGAGGCCAACCCGCTCCAACCCGCCGCCCCCCGCCCCCTCTTGGTCCCTCTAGTTCCCCGCCCAGCTGGCCACTGCCCAACCCCGCCTCGCCCCAGGCTCACTTGTGTCGCAGTTGGCGCCGAAGTAGCCGTGTCGGCAGCGGCACTCGCCCGGCCTCACGCACACCTCGTTCTCCGAGCACGTGGAATTGCCTTCACACACAGCTGCGGACGAGAGACGGGCCGAGCTGCGGCGCATGCTCTTCCCAACCCCTCCCCACCCCGATCCCGCCTGCCCGGGACCCCCACGTGGCCCGCTCACCGATGCCACACTCATCCCCGAGCTGCCTCCAACCGGCGCAGCACGTGAGCACCTGGGAACTTCAAGCAGAGGAGGGACGTCTGAGCCTGACGCCCTTCCCCGGCCGTCATGCTGTCCTGCCTTAGGGAGGCAGCGGACACCCAAGCCTGAAGCCTGCCAGACAGGGGTAGGTCAGGGGACTGCACCGGAAGTGCATACCAAAGGAACGAGCGCCCGAGAGCCCACCTCCGAGAACTGTCATCTACAGGGACTCCTCTATCCCCTCGGCCACGAGGTTAAGAAGCAGGGGCGCAGAGGAACTCAGGCCTGATGCGTGTTGGGGATCCAAATGTGACACAGGCTGGGATGGCGCCGCTGCCGGACGGTCCCAAGAAGCACCTGGATTCACACGTGGGGCTAAAACCCGGGGTGGAAGAGCATTGGAGAGGGATGGGTGGGGCCAAGTGTAGACCCTGCCTCCAGAAGTTCTCCCTGGCGCAGGCACACGGGGGCCTCGCTGTAGGCGAGGGAAGCCACACGGGGGAGTCTCCCCCAGGGCATCCAGAAAGCAGACTGAGGCCCAGGGCCATATAGAGGCAGGGAGGTTGGAGTATCTACTTGTATGTTAACATTTTCCTCGTGTTTATTTAGCCATAGAAAGTACGCGACACATCAGTGTTTCCGGGGACTCTGCTGAGGATGGAACCCTAAGCCACACTCCAGAGGCCGAATCTCTGCGGCATTCGGGGTGGAAAGTCTTCAGGTGTGAAGACCCTGTCAACGTGAAGGCAGGGAGGGTGCCTGGGACTTGAGCTGGGTGTGCCCGTGGCTGAGGTAAAAGAGGCTGAAAAGGAAAGCTGGAGCGTCCTAGAGCGTCACAAGGACCAGAAGTTCACCTCAGCCCTACAAGAATGTAGCACCCCAGTGGACGTTTTAGGAGGAGGGTGGGTGTGCTGCTTCTCACGTGTGTGAACTTAGAACCTGGAAGGCGTGGAAGGCTCGATGCTCCAGCCCAGTTCAGGGTAACGGCCATGCTGCGGCTAGGATCCCGCTGCCTCCAAACATCCCCTTACCAGCCAAGGGGTTTGGCTGTCCCTCATATCAAAGTTGGGACCTAGGGGACAGGGCCCATAAAACTTTAAACTAGGAGAACAGGCTTTGAGTATTTCCCACAACTGGAAAGCACAGAACAATGAAACCAGCTTGGTTTTGCTGCCCCCACCCACCTTGCCCCAGGGATGCCAAGGACCTCTTCTCAGAGAGACCCAAGTCCAACCACCCAATTCCTCTCACAACGCTCTTTCACACGTGTTTCCCTTGCCAGGTGGCCTGCTGGGAGCCCCAGAAACACTGGTTCCTGTCCTCCCTGGCTGGCCTAAGACACGGGTCTGTGGTTGGCCGCCACAGGGCGCATGGGCACAATCAATGGTGCCCAGTAGGTGGGGTCAGCACAGACTGGAAGGCGGACTGTGCAGTAAGCATAAACTGCATCTTAGCTCTTCCTCCTGTCAAGTCCATGGGTCCCATTTCTTTAAACAAACATTTTATGCCCCTTTCTGTGTGTGTCACACATACACACACACACACAGAGGTGGAGAGGGTGGACACAAGCCACTTTGAGCAAGTGGCGGCTGAGGACAAGCTGTGGAAGTCAGTTCTCCCCTTCCACCAGGAGGGCTTTGGCAATTGAACTCAGTTCCTCAAGCTCTGTGGCAAGTTGCGTTACCCACTGAGTGAGCTAAGCAGCCTCGGGTCGCACTCCTTAGGTAGCGAACAAAGTTAAGTTCCTTGCCTGCACAGGGCAGTCTGCAGTCATGGAAGCAAGCTGCAGGATGGATGCCGTTGAGAAGAGCTGGCGGCTATGAGCAAGCCCATTTGGGTTCACCGAACGAGTCCTGCATTCTTGCAAGGGCCGACCACCGCTCACTGACGGTGATCAGGCTGGCCTGGTGAACCCATTCAAGATCTTACAGAATGAGAGCTACCTTTCGGAATCAGGCTCCAGAAGCCGCTGTGTGATGCCACAGGATGATGCCTGGGGCCACAGCCACTGCTGGGTGGCAGCCAGCTCATTTTCCCATCTTAGAGCCCGCTCATTAGATCTACGTCTGTCCGGTCTACCCCTGGTCACTCCCAGACCCAACCAAGGAGGCTTTGTGCCTACCCCCTCCTCTGGGCCCCACGTGTCTCATGCTCCTCTTGCCCCTGGGACAGGGTTCTTCTCTGTCCGACCCATGCTGGCCTCTCCAGGGAACCCTCCCTGCCCCCTCCCCAGCTAAGGAGCAATGCCATGGATCTGTCAGTGTGGTCTGCTTCCTCAATCCCAGACTTGCTAATGCAACTGCCCACTGGATGGCATCACAACCCAGAGAGCTCAGGAGTGTCAAAAACAAAACAACAAAACACCTCCGTCTCGGGTTGCCCTTGTCCTTCCACGCTAGGGAGCTGAGACCATGTTCACACTAGAGCCACTGAGAAACAGACGTGCTTTCTCTTCCAGGTTCTGTCAAAGCTGGGCGCCAGCCTCCTTTCACCTCCTACCCTCCAGTCTCAAAGCTCGTCTGTACCTGGTTAGGTGTCTGCAGCCTCATTCTCGGAGGAGCAAGCCTACCTCACGTGGCCCTGGCCATCTCCAATCACCTGCAGGGGTTCCAAGGTCTCTTCTAGAAGGGGAGGGGGCGTAGGGTGAGCTGTGCCCCAGATACCCACACGACGGCCTGGGTTCATCATGCTGAAGGAAATGGTACTCCCAACTCCATTACCACTTGGCACTGCTCTCTGCTGCAACGTCCTCGGCACTATCAGGCTCCGGGCACAGTAGGTGCAGGGCTGAACTGCCACCTCTCTCTCCTGGGCCTCATGCATTGCCACCAGAAGAGTGGCCCAGACCTCGGAAGGGCATCCACAGACCGTTCTTGCCACAAACGCTCCACGCAGAGTTACAGCACCCACTGCCATCTCCACCATCAAGAGCCGAGGCCTCCCCCTCACCCCGGCCCCTGCGACCCTATTTTACAGAGATGGAGACAGACCAGAAAATCCAAGTGTTTGTTCAGCTCCAGACAGCAGGGGCGGCCTGCCGCCGGGGTACGAAGACAAGCGCATCGGGGCTGTGCCAGGAGCAGCCCAGCTCCCGCGAGGTCGGCCGGCGGGAAGAGTGGAGGCCAAGGGCTTCCCCACGCCAGCTCGCCACAGCTAGACCCACCGCCCAAGCGCGTTCCTCGGCTAGCCCGTCCGGGGAGAAAAAAGGCCTGGTGCGGGCTGAGCGCCCTCCCCAGGCACCGCCCCGCCAGCCTCGGCCGCTGCATTCCTGGGGCCGGGGAGGCCCGGGAGGCGGCGGCGGCGGCGATGCGAAGCAGATGGCTAGGCGGGCGGGCCCCCGCCTCCCAGGCGGGGCTCGCGGCCCAGAGTGGTCTGTGTCGTCTCCACTCGACTTCGGAAGCTGCCGCGCGGCCAGCTAGCAGCCCCTCGTCTGCTTTGACCCTCCAAAACACCCCCGGGGCCCCCATCCTGGAGTCCCGGAACGGCTTCCCCGACACCCGAAGAGGCGCCCCACCGCGGGTCCCTGGCCTCCTTGCAGGGATGCCCTGACTGCACGGTGGCGTCGGCCAGTCCCTCAACTTCTGCGCCTGTTTGGCGTCGCTCTTCGCCCTCCGCGCAAGCTCCGGTTCCACCGCCTCCTGGCTGGGCCTGTCCCACACCGGCCTCCCCAGCAAGGACCCCTCAGAGCCTCACCTCCGCCTACCCAGTGTCCACCCCGAGGAGATGGCCGGAGTTCTCACGTCCTCCCATCCCGTGTCCATCATTGTCCTCAGGACCGGTTTCTGGTCCACCGTGAGCACACGCTTCTCCGTGCTCACTCCCACCACCACCCTCCTCCCATCCGGCGCCTGCTCTACCAAGACTAATCTGTCCTTCCAGGGCTTTCCCAGCGCCCAGCTCGCCCAAGGGCCGCTCCCTCGCCGTCCTGACCCCCCACCCCAGGCGCAAGCCCCGGGCTCCTCGAGCCTCTGCACGCGCCGTCCCCTGCCTTGGAAAGCCCTTTCTTGGCTTCGGGAGCAGCTCTTTTCTGGTCTTTCCTGACATTTTGGACACCGCGCGGTACCCCTTCTGGGCGACCACCGCGCTCCGTTATCCCCTCAGGTGACTTCTGGTCCAGCCGGCCCTAGGGTGCACCCGGGGGGGGGGGGAGGCTGCTCGGCCTGGAAGCGAGCCCAAGACGCGAGGGAGGACGCAGAGGCTCGCGCGGCCAGTTCAGGAAGGTCCTGGATAGTCCGGACTGGAACGGGGCGCCGCTACCCCCAGCCCGCTCCGCGCCCACGCCTCGGACAGGCCCAGCTCCTACCCGGGCGCGCGGCACACGTTGCGGCCTCGCGGGTTCAACTCCTGGGGCGCCGCGAGACCGGGCAGCAGCCAGAGAAGCAGCAGCAGCGGCGGCCCTCGGGCTCCCTGGCGCCGCGCCGGCCCGGCCCCCCGGGACCCTGCGCCCTCCATGAGGCGCGGGGCAGGCGCGGGTGGGCGCGGGTGCGGCCGCGGCGAGGGCGGCCGGAAGCGGAGTGCGAGGCCGGGCGGGGGGCGGCAGGAGGGGCGCCGGGCCGGGCAGGAAATTCCACATCGGCTCCCTGAGCCCGGGCCAGCGCGGCCGGCCAGGCGGCAGCGCCCGCCCCGCGCGCCAGACCCCACCCTCCGGCCGCGCCTCCGCCCCTCCGCTCGGCCCCCGCCCCCACCTGGCCACGCACGAACTCGGGGGGCCAACTCGGCGGAGGCCGGCGGGGCGCCGCGGGAGGAAGGAGCTGCGGAAGCCCGCCAAGGAGTCTTGCTCCTTGTCTTTCCTCCCCTTCGTCGGTCCCGGAGCCGCCAGGCCTGCGAGGAAAGGGGACCCTGCAAAGGCCCTGGGTCACACACTGGCCTTGAGCTCGGCCAGGACCCACAGCGTTGTCCTGTGGTGTGCCTTCAGCATCTGCTGCGTGTAAGAGATGACTGAGCGAGATGTAGGCAGAGACCTGTGGGAATGGGCCGAGGGAAAAGTGTCTGAGGAACTGGCGAGGTGGGAGCAGGAGGAACCAGCCAAGGTCTCTGATATAATGTGGAGGGGACATTGGAGATGGAAACGGAAACCCAGAAGCTCAGCTGAGTGGTAGAAAGGAACTGGGTGCCCAGGGATCAGTTCAGCTCCAAAAGGTTATTGCCTCCCAAGAGGGAAAGGTCCAGAGGGTGGAGTCAAAGCTGGAGAAGGGAGACCCCTACCCCAGGACATAGGGCCACAGGGAAGCTACTAAGTCGGTTCACTTTTGTTTCCTGTGCACCTCACTCCCTAAACAGCTGCCAAAGTGAGTTTTGTCAGGTAAGGGGAACAAGAAAAGCTTTCTTCACCAGGCGCTTCTGATGACCTTAGGATGACGTCAGCAAGCCTGTCAGAAGAACTGCAGAATCAGTGAGAGTCCTAGTACCAACTTGGCCATGACTAAAGATATCCTTCCCCTAAGTCTCCACATAAGCTTAATGGTAAGAGCCCCAGGTAAGATGGAGGCTTAGGGTAGCCGCCCTCCATTAGCCCTTCGCTGTTCTCAGTAAAGCATTTCTTTCCTCACTGCCTTGAATCACTGGTTTCACACAGGCATAGCAGAACACAATACTTACGGTTACCACAGGTCAGGGAGGAGGGGGTTAGGGCTCTCTATAGGCCCTGAAAAGCCAAAGCAGGACAGCTCCAGAGGCAAACTGTGCCTAGACCCTGAACAAGTCCACATAACCCCTGCTGGCAGCCAGGTCCCACCAAGGAGTCTGTCTTACTTGAGGGAAAAGTTAGACATCTTGGGTGGCAAAGCAGAAGGCACCCTGAATATCAGGTGGTGTAGAAGGCGAGCCTGAAGGTCTCAGCTGGAACCAGAGCGGCACACAGGCCATTGGCAGGAGGGGAGGGTGGGGCCTCAGGCCGCTTCTCAGCCCTCAGCCTGGCTAAGCTGGCAATGCAGCGGGGAGGTGGGGTGGGGAAAAGGAAAAGTCTTCCTATGTGGTGGCAAATGCAAACACTTCTCTAAAACAAGTTAATAAGCCAACCACTTCTGGGAAGCCGAGCCCTCGAACAGCCCCAACCTCGAGTGCCCTCCCCACGGAGGCACCATGGCTGCCAGCTGCAGGGGTTCCTGTCTTTCCAGTGTTCGCCCAGGCTTTATAGGTACTGACCTTGCTGGCCCTGAGGGGAACCTCCGATATGCCAAGTCCTAATGGCACCAGCTTAGCCTCTTCCCGTAGACCATCTCCCAAGCTTGCTATCTGTGAAGGGCAAACCTGATCTCATACTCCTCACTAAAGCTCCCCAGTGTCACCATGTCCCCCGTTTATCCCTCTCCCTAAGCCAGGGTCAGCTCCTAACTGGAGACCTGGGTAGCCTTGCAGGTTCAACTCGATACAACTGTGGATGTTACTTTTTCCTGCTGCTGTGACAAAACTATGCTGACAAAAACACTAGATGGTGGAGACAGGATCTTTAAGAGTTCGAGGCCAGTCTGGTCCACTACAAAGGAAGTTCTAACACACTCGGGGCTACATAGAGATCCTGCTTCAATAAACAAATAAAAAAATAAAAATGTTTTTTAAAAAGAAAAAGGGAAGTAAAGGTTTACTTGGTTTCACAGTTTGAGATCTGGTGGTGACACTGAGCACTGGGGACATCAGACTCACAGGCTGCAGGCAGAGGGCACAGGACTGCGATGAGGGCAGAGACGGCTCCGTGCAGCACAGCCACTGCCAGGACACACGACCAGAAAAACCCACATGGCCCCCTCCTAGGGCTCTCCCTCCCCCCTTCTGTAAACTGTGGCCACATTTGGCTTGGGAGGTGACGGTGCTAGCAGACTGGGACATAAAGTAAGTGCTCCAAGACCTGCAAAATGATGTTCCTACTAGGAACAGGGGAGAGGACACCGGAGGATGTGGCCATCTGCCCCTGAGAGAAGTGACTTAGCCCACCATGGGGGCGCATGCCTGTAATCCTAGCAGAGGCAGAGGCAGGCGCGTCTGAGTTTGAGGCCAGCCTGGTCTATGTGCAGCCAGGGCTACACAGAAGTGACTCACTTCAGGCAGATGTCAACATTTGGGTGGGGTCTGTCACCCTGAGGTATCGGAGTGTGACATCATGTCTCTCCAGGGGCCCCAGATCCTATCTACGTTAGGTTATACGTTTTGGTGGGCATCGACTTCAAGTCTCCAGTCCACTGTCTTCAGGGATCCAGAGTGACTGGCTACCCGCTCTCAACCCATCCTTCCATTACACCCTCACTACGTAGCCTCCCCTCCTTGAGAGTGCACCATCGGGAAGACTGGGTGCTCACTCTGCCAGCTGCCCACGGCTGGCATTCGGGAAATCTGTGGCCTGTGGCAGGGGATTCTGCAACTGAAGACCTTGCAGCAAGCATCAGGGAAGGTGTCTGGATGCTTGGACCCCAAGTCCTGTCGTGTTGGACACAGGCCACGGCAGACATCTCCCGAAGTGTGGGGGAGGTGCTAGTAAAGATGACTAGAGAAGGTCTCACCTGCTACGCTAACACAGCCCCCGAATCCCCCAACATGATTAACCAAGCCACCTGACAAAGTTTTGGGGAAATCAGGAAGTGGAAAGAAGGCCCATACAGGTGCCCACAATTGGGCCTGAGCTTTGGTTTCAGTGATACACACTGATACTCATCCCTGGTACCTTAGTCTTTTTCCTCACACAGACCAGGACTTTCTTGTCCTGCCTTTCCATTTTCATGAATGGATCGTGTTCTAGGCAAGTGCTTTAGCACTGAGTTGCACCCCAGTTTTCAGAGCTTTCTTAAGACATCAAGTGAGCATCCTTTCAGCTTGGGGAGCTTATCATGTCTGAAGCAGGGTAGTGACCCCTGGTGCCATTTGGTATAGAACAGCCTCAGTTACCATGCCCAGTCCATCCCCCAGGGTGACTGACTTGAAACCTATGCCTCTCTAAGATGTCACCCAGGGGCATTGACTGGAGAAGAAAGTATCCCAGACTGTGACCACATTAGACAAAACACTGTTTGCATAATGTTTTATTTTATTTTTTCAACAATATTGAGTCAGAAACACACAGCAATGGGGACATCTCTCCAACCCTAGGACCAGTTCCAGGTATACTGTTTCCTCTGTCCCTTGATAGCTCCCCAGCTGCTCAAGGTCCTGGCTCCAGGTAGCTGAAGCTGCTTCCCAGACCTCGTGGTTCACAGAAAGAAGGGAGCCATGAGCTTTGGTCAAGGCTAGGACTGCTAGCTCCCAGGTCCTCTTGAAGGAGGGACCTTACTTAACTCATCAAGGACCAGACTAAGAAGAAAAGGCCAAACAGAGATGCCAGTCCTTCAGAGTTTACAGAAGATGGGCCTGGTCATTCCTCAGGTGACAGCAACCCCCTTCCCCAGCACTTTCCTTTGTAATGTAATTCACAGCCAGAGAGCTTGCCAAGGCCAGCAGCTGGCTGGTTGAAGTGGAAAAAGGGCAGCTGGTGAACTAGGATGGCTTGGGGAAGGCTCTACCCTGGGGCCTGGTGTTTTTATCCAGTCCCCGTGGCCTTTACTGCCCTCAACACCAGAGAGAGCCTAGTCTTCACTAGAGTTGTCAAACTCCTCCCAGTCTGACACACTCATCACCTCAGAGGCAACATCTGCGTCTGCCTGGCTGCGGCTGGGAGTCTCTCGGGGTGGCTCCCGGAGCAGGGAGCGGGGCAGGGTAAGCACGCAGGCCGCAAGGCCTGAGATGGAGTTGTTCAGCTGGGGGCCCTCTTCCCAGCAGTCCTTCTCCATGTCGTAGATGTGCACGTAGCCTGTGCGGGTGCCTCGGTTGTGGGAGCGGCCGCCCAGCACATATATCCTGTTGTCTAGTACGGCAATGCCAGGTTCACCATGCCCAGCTGGGAGTGGGCAGACCGATGACCACTGCCGGGAGGTACAGCTGTAGCAAGCCACCTGCAAAGCCAAGACCAGGGTCAACACAGCAAGCTTCTGGGGCAGGTTGCCAGCCCGCTCCAGGGCACTTCTGTCGATGGCCAGGTCTACAGTGGCCCACTGGAGGGTGCTCACCGGGGATGGTGCTGCTCTGTCCAGCTGGAAGACTGAAGCTGAGGCCACGGACCCCACTGACATCATTCTCCTCACAGCACCCTTACTCATACTCATGCAGAGAGTGTGTGAAGCAGTTACTTTCGCACTACTCAAGACCACCAAACTTCTTTTCATAAACAGCCAAGACAGTGAACAAAGACTCAAGGGCTGGAGAGGTGGCTCAGCAGTTAACGGCACTGGCTGCTCTTCCAAAGGTCCTGAGTTCAATTCCCAGCAACCACATGGTGGCTCACAACTGTAATGCCAATTCCAAGGGATCTGACACCTTCACACTAACGCACATAAAATTAAAAAACAAAAACCAACCAAACAAAAAAAAGATGGAGAAAATGCTCAATCTACTACTAATCCAAGAAATGTAAAACGAAAATGTCACCTGGTAACCCCCAACCATGGCGGAGGAGATCATGAAACCTGGTGCTAACGATGGTATGGCAAAGCTGGTATGCACATCTCACGTATCAGGAAAAGAATTGAGCAGGTAGTAAAAGACATTTAAATCTCTTCAAGCCAGGGGGACGTGACACATGCCTTTAATCCTACCACTTGGGAGAGAGAGGCAGGTGGATCTTTGTGAGTTCAAGCCCAGTCTAGTCTACAGAGTGAGAGCCAGGACAGCCAGGATGACACGAAGAAACACTGTCTCGAAAGACCAAACCAAACCCAAAACCTCTTCTCCAGCTGAGAAGCAGAAGCAGGTGGCTCCCTGTGAGTTCTAGGCTAGCCTGGTCTATACAACAAGTTGGGGTGTCTATTCAGACCATTTCCTAAACAAACAAAACAAAAGCAAAAAAAAAAAAATAGTCTTATTCTCCTACTTTGTTCCCAAGTGCTAGAGCTACAGGTTTGGTAACAATGGCTCAAAGTCCTATCTGCTTCACTAAGCAATCAAATCCGTGTTCTAGCTACAACAGACAAAACCATGCTTCTCAATCCAGGAATCCTAAGCTTTGGAGCCTTGAGTGTATTATGTTACATGGCAGAACTGACTTGACAGATGGGATTAAAGGTCATAGGTGGCTTTTGAGGTTTATGTTATGGGTAGACTCACTACATAGTTTTTTGTTGTTTTGATTTGGAGACAGGATCAAAACACGTAACACTGGATGGCCTGAAACTCTCCACGGAGACCAGGATGGCTTCAACCTTGCAGGGATGCACCTGGCTCTGAAAGCACAGGAGAGAGCCACCATGGCTAGTCGACAGACAGTTCTGATTTAAGAAGCTTTCCCTTAAAACATTTTAGCTTTCTGTCGCTGTAAATTGGTAGAAACCAGTTACGAGTTTGGACTTTTTTTAAGTTCTTAACCCAGTACAATTCTTATGAGATACAGGGCAGAGGGTAAGCTGCAGCCCTTGTCAGCTACTCCATTTTGAGAGTTTATAGCACCCCATGTTGCTAAGTAGGTCAGGGGGCTAAGGTCAGAGGCCGAAGGTCAACCTCCTCTGATGTTCCTCAGGGATCACCCCTCTTGCTTTTTGAGACAGGCGCTCTCACTGAGACTTGAGCTCAGCATTTGGGTTAGGCTGGTCAGCGGGCTCCAGAGTCTGCCTGTCCTCAGGTCCCAGCACTGGGATACAAGCAAGCAGCACGCTCATTTTCTAAGGTATGTTGTGGGGAATCACACTCTGGGCTCATGACTGTAGGAAAAGCATTTTATGGACTTAGCTATTTTTCTACCCTGGTTAAGTGTACATCTGAACTAGAATATTTTTAGTTTGTTTTGAGACTATAGATATATACTCCTATCATGAATGAAGAAACATCTTTAAGTACATAAGAACTCAACATAAGAAAAAAGAAGCCAGAAGAAAGGGGTGAGAAGGAGGACTCTGCCTGCCCTTGCTTCTTGAAGAGGAAGTGGTTACCACCAGGGCGGGCAGCCACAACGGGCTAGCCAGGAAACTGGGATGTCAGCCTGCAGGACTGATGACTGTGAGAATGAATTCATGTTATTTAGGTTTGTGGTGACTGGTGACAAAAATAATAAGAAATTTACACACCAGGTCAGGTTCTCACCATGGGAGGAAGTGTTAATTTAGGTGGCCAAGCCCTTCTCTCAGAGTGGCTACAAAGTGAGGTCAAGGCAAGCCTAGGCAGCTGAGTGAAGCCCTACCTCAAAATGTAAAATAAAAAGACATCTGCAGACTAACTCTGTGGTAGAAAGTGTCTCTAGCATACCTGAGATGCTGGATTTAATTGATTTCCTAATGCGAGAGAGAGAGAGAGAGAGAGAGAGAGAGAGAGAGAGAGACACTAAGTGTTAAACTGGAAAATGCTGGGAACGAATGCTGTCGAGAAAAGCACATTTTGTTTCTTTAATTTCTTTTCACTGCATAGCCCAGGCTGGTCTCACACTTGCAATCCTACCACCTCAGACTCTGAGTGCCAGGGTACAGGAATGGACACGTGGCTTGGAAGAGTGAGAAGGAAGTCAGAGACAGACTGAAAGGCAACAGTACAAGTAGAGGGCGTGAATGCTTCTGCTTTGTATAGTCTTTGTTAGAAGGTCTACAATGTGGGTATGTTAACTTCTTGATGAAAACACACCAACTAAAGGCATAAGTGAGACTACTAGGAGGACATATGGATGCATTATATAGAATGTGCAGCATTAACGAGCCTTCACGCAGCCGCTGGCTTGGGGTGATAGGTTGGTATGGATTCAGCAAGTGTAACACACGTGTCCTTCTGGTGACAAGTGAGTACAGTGGGAAGGCATGCATGCATGAAACCAGAGGGGACCAGGGGACTCCCAGACCTTCTGCGCAGTTCTAAAGAGAGCAGCCTGGGCCCCGCTCACCTGGTGCACATCCCTCCTGTAGCCCGCATCATTGTTGCTGCCTCCGATCACAAACAGCTTGTCATGGAGGGCAGCCATGCCATGCCAGGCACGTCGCACGGGCCCGTCAGCCAGAGTATGCCACGTGTTGCTTCCTGGGTCGTAGCAGTGCGTCTCTTTTAGGTAGTCCTCTCCTCTGCGGCCACAGGTAATGTACATCTTCCCCTGCAGAGTGGTGCCTGCGTGGGCATACACCTGTTTGGAGCCACCAAGAAAGGCAGAGAGTGGGCAAGAAGGCAGTCAGGAAGGCGGTCAGGCAGCCTCTATGAGGCCGCCACCACCACTCTGCCCCTGCCTGAACACAGCCATCAAGCTTCCCACATCTGACGAACTGGACTTGTACTAGATCCATAACCACCCTACTTGCTGCCCTCTAACCTCTTTCTAACAGGGTATGTGATCCACAGACCCAGAGATTAAATGTAATCTTTGTGTTTCTTTGCCTCTAAAGGAAGCACCTGAATGAGGAACAAGAAAATCAAGGCCTACTCTCCAAGCTGCCAGAGAAATACAACCATAACGAAGATCTGCCCTTGGTGGCTTCAACTTTCCAACAGCCACCCTTTCCAAATCTGTCTGCAGATAGTTCCCCACAGAAAGTGGGCTGGAAGGAAGATTGAGACAAAGCATCAAATATGGTTGACTCTCTTTATCCATGGGTTCATGTCTCCAGATTCAACCAAAACTAAGACAAAAAAAACTCAAATCAATATACTGCCTCTGTACTGAACATGTACAGAGATTCAGTCTTCCATATAAAACAATCTACAGGGGGCTGGAGAGATGGCTCAGAGGTTAAGAGCACTGGCTGCTCTTCCAAAGGCCCTGAGTTCAGTTTCCAGCCACAATATGGTGGCTCCCAACCATCTACAATGAGAACTGGTGTCCTCTTATGGCCTGCAGGTGTACATGGAGGCAGAACACTGTATACATAATAAATCTTTAAAAAAATTAGAAATCATTTATATTGTACCAGGTACTATAAGAAATACAATGGTGATTTAAAAAAAAAAAGATTTATTTATTTATTTTATGTTATATGAACACTCCATCTTCATGCACACCAGAAGATTCCATTAAATCAGATTCCATTAAAGATGGTTGTAAGCCACCATGTGGTTGCTGGGAATTGAACTCATGACCTCTAGAAGAGCAGTCTGAAGAGCTGAGTCATCTCTCCAGCTCCCAGTGATGTGCAAGAGACTGAACACATGGGCTTGCAAATGAAGGCCAATATCCTGCCACTTCTCCATACTGCCAGTCTTTCTTCTTTTTTATGAGAGAGGGGTCTCATGTATCCCAGGTTGGCCTAGAACATACTATGTAGCCAAGAACGACCCTGAATCTCTCTGCTGTTTCTGCCTCCATCTCACAACGTTAGGCAGGATTAGAATTGTGTGCATGACAACAGGTTTACTTCATGCTGAGGAATAAACTCAGGGCTTTTCATGCATGTTTCATGCCACTCTACTAACTGGCTTACATTCCTGCCCCCATATCTCTTTCTCTTTCTTTCTTCTCTCATATATTATTTCCCAACCACAGTTTTCCCTTCCTCCCCTCCCTCTTGGTGATTTTTAAGACAGGGTCTTACAGTGTAGTTCTAGCCAGTACTGGAACTCACTCAGTTCCAGGCTGACCTAGAACTCAAAGAGATCCACCTGGCTCTGCCTCATGAGTACTGGGACTTAAGGAGTAGGGCACCACACCCAGTAACCCCTACATGGTTTTTATTTTGTTTTGTTACGTTCAGAAAAAGTCTGGCTTTCTGTAGCCCAGACTGACCTTGAACTTTTGATCTTCCTGCATCCACCTTCCAAGTAGCTACGATTAGGCTTAACAGAGTAGGCCTGGATATGTAAGTTTTACACAAATACTGTTACACCACTTTATCCAAGGAACTTCAGCCTCATGCATTTCTCTCTCCTTGGGGGACCCTGAAACTAAGCAGTTTGGATTACAAGGGACAGCTATATAAAGGACACTCTCACTTCAGCGATGGTGTGTGTGACAGGAAAGGGAGATGGGTCCAGTGCTCTTGACTCAAGGACTTCCCACCCCTCCTTTGGCAGCTGTGCTACTCTGACCCACCCCCCACCCACACATGCCAGCACTGGCCCCTCTAGGTCTTACTGACTCACACCCACAGACAACAGAAGACTCTGACTGTTCAGGAGAAAGGAGCTCTGTGGAATGCTGGAGACTCCAGGGCTGTGTCATGGGACTGGTTACTAGAAGGTCACATGGGTAGCACGAGGAGCTGGAGCTGCGCAGCAGCAGGCTGACCGTGCAAAAGTTTGGATCTTCTTCTATCACAGGTAGCAGTCTGGGGAGGTTACTTTATTTCCAATGAATAATTTTGAGATTAAAGGCTCCCTTGCTTCCTTCCAGAAGCTTCTCTAAATAGTGAGAGTTTGCATTATGTACTACAACATCCTGGTCAGGTTACTGATACTGTTGTCATTTCCAGACATTCCTGCCACCACTAGCATCTTCTAGTTGTTCTTTAAAGTGTGAACCAAAATATAAACAGTTATGTTAAAACCAAACAGAAATGGAGCTGGAAGACCATGGAGGGTCCTCATGCATAGCTGCTGACAATAAGATCATTATGAGAAACTCCAGAGAAGTCATTCCTAAAAGGAGACCTCTCCAGCCACAGTCACAACTCCTACAAGGAGCACCTGAGATCAAAGGAGTTTACTCTCCAACAGCTCATGTGTATCTTTGTCTTTATCGTGTTTGTGTGCGTGTGTGTGTGTTGGGGGTTGTTCTGGTGCTTCCATGTATTCAAATGCTAAATACTGGTCCTCAAGGTCTGGTTGCCATCCAACCAACATGAGTACATTTTTATGTACACCAAATGATGGGTAAACTTTGCTCCCTTATTATCACTGATTAGCCAATAAAGAAAGACCGGAGCCTGTAGCTGTGCCAACAGAAGCAGGCAGCACTTCAGTTCCTGGGGAAACTGGGAGAGGAGAGAGAAGAGAAGGAAAAGATGGAGATAGAGGACGTGGCCTGATGGAGCAGATCCAGCCCATACAGGATGAATTATTGACAAGTCACTTGGGGAATGCAGCTGGGAGGCAGCCAGACTAGCTTAGAAAATGATTAAATTGTACCTGCCCAGTTATTGTGCTAAAGCTGTTTAAATAGGTCTCCATCTCAAATATTGGGGGGGGGTTAGTGATGTCACAGAATAGCCTTTTAGAGTTTAATAACTTTCTCCCCTTGCCCACTTTGGACATGCCTGTCTACAGTCCATCACAGCACACATATCCTAGATTGCAATGCAATCTAACAATCCTGAACAAGCAAACACTTGGCTTTAGAGAGTTGGTCTCTCTATTATTCAGTTTAAGTTGACAATCGTCACAACCACTTCTCTCCTGGCTCAAACCTCTGTACTTAATTTCTGACAACCACCCTTATTTCTACAATACTGTCATTTCAAGAACATCATGAGCCAGGGGAAGGTGGTGCACACCTTTAATCCCAGCACTTGGGAGGCAAAGACAGCTGGATCTCTGTGAGTTCTAGGTCAGCCTCGGTCTACAGAGTGAGTTCCACGACAGCCAAGGCTACACAGAGAAACCCTGTTTCAAAAATACAAAACAAAAATCATACAAATAAAATAGAATAGGTTTTGGTTTCTTTTTTTCTGAAATAGGGCCTTTCTATCCGGAAACTCTCTAGGTAGACCAGGCTGGCCTCAAACTCAAAAAGATTCCCCCTGCCTCTGCCTCTCAAGTGCTAGGATTAAAGGTGTGCGCCATCTCACCAGTCTGAAAACAGAACCGTTTACAACAGCCTTTCTGTTCCAGTTCATTTTTATTGCTGTGACTCTACCCATGTCTATTTAGCCATTTACGTGTTGGAAGACATCTTATTTTTTTAAAGTTTCTGGCTATTATCCAAAAAGGTGGCTATGAATATCTGTGCCAAAAGTCTTCATTTCTCCAGGATAAATCCCCAAGATGGCAAGCATTGAGTTCCAAGGCAGCTAGAGGCTGCTTCCACTCTTCTAGAAAGCACACTATTTTACATTCTCAAGGCCAAAGTTTACGAGACACAAGTGACCCTGTGCAGCATGGCCAACATCTGCTCCAGCACCCTGACAGGCAGTGCTCACCGTGGCTTTGTGTGCATCTCCTTGAAGTGAACAACGCTATTTTCTCATGTGTTCATCCGTCATCTATCTTCTCCTCTTCTGTCCCTTCCACTTCCTTTCTCCCCAGAGAGCAGCCTCACAGGTATGTTTAAGGTGCATAGCCCAAAGACTGACTTACCTTCTTATGGTTCAGACATGTATTACATGGCTTACATGTATTTTCTGCTATTAAGTAATTTCTTTCATAAATCTCTTTTTTAAAAACTTGGGGGTGGAGCTTGTGAGATGGTTCAGTTTCTCAAAGTACCTGCTGCCCACCCCAAGGACCCTAGTTTGATCACTAGGATCCATATGGTGAAATGTGAGAACTAATTCCTGAAAGCTGTTCTCTGACATTGACAGGTACCCCTGCCACACACAAATAAATAAATACACTTTTTTTTAAAGGTCTTTTGCCAGCAAGAGTTTTTGGTTTTAAAGAGATCCAATTTATCAGTTTTTCTTTTTCATGGCTCATGTGTTTGGCATCAAGTTTAAAAACTCACCTAGTCTGTATTCTGTTTTTGTTTTGTCTTTTTGGTTAAGGTAAGAGTCTTGCAGCTGGGTGTGGTGGCACATGCCTGTGATCCCAGCACTCAGGGAGGCAGAGACATGTGGATCTCTGTGAGTTCCAGGCCAGCCTGGTCTACAGAGTGAGTTCTCGGACAGCCAAGGCTACAAAGCGAAACCCTGTCTCAAAAAACCAGAAGGAAAAAAACTAAAATGATAGTCTTGCTATGAAGCCCTGGAATTGGCCATGTAGATCAGGCTGGTCTCAACTTTGCTGAGCTGTTCTTGCCTGTCTCCTAGAACTGAGATCACAGGCATATGTCACCACATCTGGCTCCGACTTAGTTTCATTTGTCTAAAAGGTCGTGTTTTACATTTAAGTCTATGAACTACTTTGAGTGACCTCAAAATCACTCCTAGGTCCTGCATTTCCCTCTACTTCCACAGGCCTGGTCCAGCCCTAGACTAACAAAGGTCCCAACCCTGCCCTCCATACTCAGTTTCAGGCTCCTTTGGCTTTCTGCTCTTCACAAGGAGTCTTCAAACCTGTCCCTCTCAAAACAGATTAGTAACCCCCTGTCCTGGGAGGTCCTTTGTGTACTGAAAATGGCTAATTTTTTTTCAGGCCTTGCTCCAACAGTCAGATAGACAGTTCCCAAATAACACCTCTCTACCTCATCCTTCAAAAGTCCTGATTCCTCCACTTTGGCCTTCCTCATTTCCTTCATCTATTTGTTGTAACTGTAACTACTTCAGTGGTTTCTGGGTGATTAATGAGCCTCTTCTGCAACCCACTTGGTGGAGGAGGGTTTGTCATTTGTCTCCACTGCATCTCCATGATTTAGTACACAGTAGCTGGTTAATAGAAGAGGTGACCACATGCCTGAAGGAATGAAAGCTACTAATTGCTGAAGTAAGTTGAGTGAAGCTCAAGAGTGCTCCTCTGTGGCCAAGATGAAGATGTGCAGCTTTGCCCACAGTCTCAGACAGAGGTCAAGCCCTTACCCAAACTCCTGGAATAGAATCTACAAGACCTCAAAAGATCCCAGACACTCTCTATGCAGAATCTACTCCTGTCCCCAGAACTGGGCAGGGCTCCCTTCCCTGCAAAGAAGCTGAAGAGCAAGGTCTGGCACAGCATGGCTGGGTGCCTGTTCTGCTGTGACTTGGGCAGAGGATCCCCATCCCAATCCACTGAGGTCAGTCTTTTTTTGGGGGGGGAGGGAGCTCAGGACAGGGTTTCTCTGTGTAGCCTCGACTGTCCTGGACTTGCTTTGTAGACTCGGCTGGTCTCAAACTCACAGAGATACACTTGCCTCTGCCTCCCAGTGCTAAGATTACAGGTGTGTGCCACTACGCCTGGCTCAAGACCTATTTCTTGCCTCAGGATCCACAGATGGTTTGGGGCTAGCACAAAGTACTTCAGATCCATAAAAAGAATAAGAAGCACTCTCATAGAGCATTACCTTTGCAGCCAGGCAGTGGTGGTAGACATCTTTAACCCCAGCGCTTGGGAGGCAAAGGCAGCCGGATCTCTGTGAGTTTGAGGCCAGCCTGGTCTACAGAGTGAGTTCTAAGACAGCCAACGCTACACAGAGAAACCCTGTCTCAAAAAACCAAAAAGAAAAAAGAAAAGCTTACCTTTGCATAATTTTAAATATACATAATTAAATATAATTAATTTAAATATACATAATATAATTTAAATATACATAATTTTAAATATCTCTAAACTGGACTAAACTAAATACTATGCATATGATTATTATTGTCTTTAATAAAGATAAAACCTCCAAATTATCTTGTGGCCTCTGGAAGGTCCAGCGGCTCTGCGTTCCTGTAGAGGAATCTGAAAGACCTGTGAGTCAGGCTGCCCTCCAGTCTCTTGGAGTCCCCGTGTTTTGAAATACCTGGAAATCTTCCAGCTTGTGTCAGTAATAGATAAGGGGACAAGGTGAGTAGCACTCTCACCACAGAAAACTCTCAAGGGGCAATGGTCTGAAGAATGAAATCAGAATGCTGAATGCGGTCCTGATAGGCCTGCCAATACATTCCATACAGGGTCCTGGGATAGACAAAGCCTCTGCCTACCAGGCCTGACTCCCTGACCCTGGACCAGGACCAGCCTTGACACCTGGGCCTCAGAGTACAACCCACAGGAAGAAACCTGAGGGGTGCCTATCGGAAGGCTTCCTTACCTCCCTCTTGAGTGGGGCCACATAGTCCCAGGAGTTGGTGGCAGGGTCATAGCGCTCCACAGCATTCAGGTCATTGTGGTAGTCACGGCCAGCCACAGCATAGATGTACTTCCCTACGACACACACACACAGGTCTGCATGTTCTTGCTGCAAGGACTGGATCTGGAACCAGCGGTTGTGCCTTGGGTCATACCTTCAAAGGACATGCAGACAGTATGTCATAATGACTAGGAGAGCAACTTGCCCTTCAGGCCTATACTTCCTACTCCCCACTTCTTTGCTGCAGCCTTGTCTGAGCATCCTCCATCCTGGCAGTTAGGACCTGCTGGATCCAGAGCCATGACAGCAGACTCGTGGAACACAGGGTACTTACAACATGGCCTAGAAATGCAGCCAGGAACCTTATAGGTACAGCCGATAGGGTGGGTATCTATACCAACATCCATCACAGGCTGCCCAACAGGTGTTTCTACGGCCACCTTCCTCTCAACTGTGTACAGGAAGGCCAAAATTACAGTGACTCACCCAGATGGCTACTCCAGCCTCCTCCACCCTGTGCACCCTGTTCTTCCTACAGTCCTAAGTGCCCCTCAGCCCAGTTAGGGAAGTCTTATCCACCTCACACCCTCGGGGTATCCCTGCCAAAATGGGCAGTCAACTCTCACTTTAACCTCTGGTCACCAGAGGGGAGGCTCCTGGGAGATTCCAGGGAACCCCACTAAAGGAAATAGAACCCACTGAAGGAAAAAGATGATGCTGACTACATGAAGCCAGAGGATACTGTTCAGGAGCAGGAAGGCTGCTGGGCTGGGTCTAGCCTGGGGATAATCAGGCAGGAGATCCATGGGGGAAAAGGGTCTGAGGCAAGAAGGGAGGGACATGCACCTTTTAAAATCCATTGCTGAGAGCAGCACTCTCAAGCACGGTTACTACAGCTGACTGTCCTGATTCCAGCCACACCATGCCACTCTCAGTATCCAGGCTTGCAGAGCCAGCCTGTCACTGCTGCCCAACCTCACTCAGCCCTTTTGTTACGCCTCTTATCACTTTTGCCTAAACAAGGCTTCCTCTCCCCACCAGGGTATTCGCCGTGACACAGCATTCCACCTGTCACCCACTGGTCTCTACTGTATTTCAGATCGACCTGGAAGTTCACTTAGCCGGCCTCAATAGAGCCCTACATTCCCCATGTCCTTCTGCTCCCAACAACACCAGCAAAACCCATGCTCTACACTCTGAAACACCTGAGCCCACACCCGAGTCTCTCCAGAGCCTGAGTCCGTTTTCTGTCTTCTTTGCCACACTATGGACTCTAGGCAAGTGTTCTACAACAAAGTTACATTCCCAGCCCTCTTTTTACCTTAAAAAATTTTAAATACTTATGTATTTTATGTATAAGTACTCTATTTGCATATAGGCCTAAATGATAGAGGAGGGCATTGGATTCCATTAAAAATGTTTGTGAGCCAACTTACAGGTGCTGGGAACCAAACCCAGGTCCTCTGGAGAGCATTAAGTTCTTTTAACAGCTGAGCGATCTCTCCAGTAATACCTTTCGAAAAACTGAGCCAGGGTCTCACGAAGCAGACTGACAAACCTGCCATCTGGGTAGATGGAGCTGTCTGCTGCCTTTCCTGTACACTGGCCTTCTTTATGCCTGTTCATTCTCCTCCCTGTTTTCAGTTCAGCCATGTCAGACTCTGCTTCCCCACCACAGTTAAAGAACGCTCTCTGGAGCTTTGTACCTGTCTCTCTTCGGTCTTCAGCCTCAGTTTCTTTTTCTTTCTTTCTTTCTTTGAGACAAGGTTTCTCTGTGGAAATCCTCCCAGAGATCCACCTGCCTCTGCCTCCCGAGTGCTGGCATTATAGGTGTGCACCACCCCTGGCTCAGCCTCAGCTTCTTAGGCTCAATTTCCTTGGATCTTGTTGCTTCAGGCTTAAGGAAACACACACACTGAAACTATAGGTTCTTCCCCACTCACAAGGTCTTAGTCATAACTAAGACTGGCCCTGAACTTGCTAAGTAGACCAAGCAGGCCTTTATACCCCAATCCTCCTGCCTGAGTGCCCCAAGCACTAGGATTCCAGGCATCCATGACCATGCTCAGCTGGCCGAGCTCCTCTTTGCTGACGCCATCTTCTACTTTGTTTCTGTTTGCATCTTCTACTTTGTTTCTGTTTGTATGTTTGTGTGTTCCTGACTGGGAGGGGATGACAATGCATGCCATGGCCTGCGTGGGAAGGCCAGAGGACAATTGTGTGAAGTCTGTTCCTTCCATTTTTGAATGGCTTCCAGGAATTGAATACAGACTGCCAGTCTTATGTGGCAACTACCTTTACCTACTGAGCCATATCACTGGTTTCTTGAGTGTTTGTTTCTTTATTTTAATGCAGGGTCTCAGGCTGGACTCAAACTCCCCGATAGTCTGGCCCTCCTGTCTCCACCTCCCAAATACTAGGATTACAGGTGTGCACTACACCTGGTTTTAGGGTTTTTTTTAGTCAGAATAGATTTTGTTAAGTAATATTTTTCCTAGTTAAAAATAAGCTTCAAGTGCTGGAAAAAATGTCTCTGTGAATAAGGGTGCTTTCTGCCAAGCCTGATGATTTGAGTTCTATCCCTGGAACCATCAGAGTAGAAGGAGAAAACAAACTCCTACAAGTTGTCCTCTGGTCTCTAATCTAAGTGCTATGGCCCGTGCACACTCACACACTAAATAGATGTTTTTGAAAACAAAGGTCAATGTCTAGGGTCTTCCTCTATCACTTTCCACCTTGTATTTTGTAAGTCTCTCACCAAACCTGGAGCTCACTTTGGCTACACTGGCTGGCCCACAGGCCCGCAGGCCCCTCCTGCCACATACTGGGGTTCTAGATGAGCACTGCCACACCTGGACTGTCTTATGGGATCTGAATGAAAGTGCTCATGGTTGTGAAGCAAGCTCTTCACAGACTAAGCCATCTCCCCAGCCCAAAATTCAGTAGTACATGTAACGGTAATTCACCTAACAGTACTATGGACTGAGTCCTGTGTTCCAAAAAAATCCATGTGAAAGCCATCAAATCCACTTTGACAGCTCTCTGGGACATAATTAGTGCCTATTAAGAAGAGATGAAGCCACATGCAATGGCACATGCCTGTGATCCCAGCACTCGGGAGGGCAGAAGCAGGTAGATCTCTGTGAGTCTGAAGGCAGCCTGGGCTACAGAGTGAGTTCCAGGACAGCCAGGGCTACACAGAGAAACTGTTTATAAAAACCATTTAAAACCATTAAAAACAAACAAACAAACAAAAAAACAGGAAGAGATGAGAACTCTCTCTCTCTACTATGTGGGGACACAGTGAGAAAGGGTCCTCAACAGACTCAATCAGCTGACCTTCCAGAACCAACATTATGAGAACAGCAGTTTGGTATTTAAGCTACCTACTTGTATTTGTTATAGCAGCCAAATTTTTCTAAGATGATAATTTTAATTCACATATTTGAATTGCCAAATTATAAACTGAGAGGTAAAATCTAGGTTCAAACATGATCTAGTGGTCTTGTTTGTTTGTTTTTTTTTTTTTGTTCTGCTTTTTGTTTTTTCAGTATTTCCATAACTGTTAGTGGTGTGGTGGTGTATACAATGAAGTACCAGGGATTAAACCTATAGACCTGTGCATACTATCAAGCTTCCATCACTGAGCTATGCCATCCCCAGCCCACCGTTCTCTTTTTGTTTGAAATAAGGCCTTACTGTGTAAGCCTGACTGGCCAGGACTTGGCTATGCTATATGGCCAAGACTGGCCTGGAACTATGGGTGCTGAGATTAAAGGTATGCACCACCACACTAGGCTCAGCCCTATTTTCACTGTTTTGTGACAGTGTCTCACTAAATTTCCCAGGCTGGATCTGAACTCACTCAGTAGCCCAGGCATATCCTGAACTGATAATCCTTCTGCCTCAGCCTCTTAAGCAGCAAAGATTCCAGGCCTTGTGCTGCCTACCTTACACAGGTAGAGTCATAGGTGAGGCTTCCTCAACTGAGAAAATATCTCCCTAAGATCAGGCTGTAGACAAGCCTGCAGGGCATTTTCTTAATTAGTGACTGATGTGGGAGGACCCAGCCCATTATACATGACAGGAACCAGGCTGAGCAAACCATAGGAAGCTGGCCAGTAACCAACTCTCCTTCACAGTGTCTGAAGCAGTTCCTACCTCCATGCTTCTGTCCTACTTGAGTACCTGCTCTCACTTTCAACGATATGGAACTATGAGTGAAATAAACTCTTCCCCAGTGTGCTTTTGGCTATGGTGTGTCATCATAGTCACAGCGACCAGATAGGTCTGGTCCTCAGCGTGGCAGTTTGGGAAGGTATTATGGACGTGCTTGGGTCATTGAGAAGTCTGTTTCATTTGCACATAACTCCTACCCTAGCATTAGGCAAGCAGAGGCAGGAGGATCTGGTTTATGCAGATTTATGGGCCAGCCAGGATTGCAGAATAAGACCCCACCTTTTTTTGTTTGTTTGTTTTTGTTTTTTGAGATATTCTTTGTGTAGCCCTGGCTGCCCTGGAACTCGCTCTGTAGACCAGGCTGGCTTCAAATCCACTTGCTTCTGCCTCCTGAATGCCGAAATTAAAGGAGTGCACCATCACCACCACCCTGCTTTTTCTCTTTCTTTTGTTCGTTTTGCTGTTGTTAAGACTCTGTCTTTAATAAACACAAAAACAAAACTGTGTGACTCTGGATCCCTGGTCTCTCCCTTCCGTGTCCTGGGCCACGATGTGACACCAGGTTCAGTGCTGGTACATAGCCATGTGCCCTCACGGAGGACAAACCAATGGGTACACCCCACATACTGTATGATCTTGGGTTTTAAGCTTCTCAAAGTGTGCAGAAAATAATGTTTTCTCTTATCAACTAGTTGCTTTAGATGTTGCATAGCCAATATATTTGTATATATGAATGCAAAGAAAAAAAAAGTACCAAGACAATTTCTTTCAGTTTCTACATCAGAGCTCTAGGTCATACCTGCTAAACACCGTCTCCTCAGATTGCAAAACCTTATTTATTGTAAAATACTGTTTTCTGATAGTCTAAGAGCTTATAAATTTTAAATCCAGTGAACTGTGAAAAGGAAAAAGAAGCAAACACAACTTTAGGGATTCAGTTACTGTGATATCCCAGCAATTGGGAGATGAAGGCAAAATGATCACAAATTCAAGGTCATTCTCACTACTCAGCTAGTGAAAGTTCGACAGCCGCCCCCCCCCCAAAAAAAACCAACAAAACCCACAAAAGTGCTGGGGTGGAAGCTGGGGCCTTATACATACTAGGGAAGCATGCAACACTGAGCTGCACCCCCAGCTTTGCAAGGTTTGAGATGGCTAGGAAGTAAAGGAAGCTTTCATTCTGTAGAAATGACAGGCACCCTGTCAGCTGGCAGGGAGGCCCTGGCCCTAGTTGACACCGCCAACCTTATACATTTCTGTTCCTTCGACCCCATCTGCCATGATCCAAGCTCGGCTCCCAGCTGTCAGTACTCTGGAGAGACCTGCTCTGCAGCTCTGACTGGCTAAGGCAGGGTGACTCCAGCCCAACAGCTGGAAGAAGAGCCCTCAGGCTTGACCTGAGGACAGCCAAATTCATCCCTACTCACCGGAGACAGGACTCAGTTAGAGAGGAAGTGAGTCATTTCCTTCTTTCTGAGCTCTCCATTCCAACATCTATCTAATCACAATGTGTTATAGGCAGGTTTAAGTCTCAACAGTTTACCAAAGGTGTCTGCTTCCTAGGGCCAGATCAGAAATGACCAAGAAAAGGCTGTTTTCTTCTTGGTCAGTATCACCACGCTTGCTTGATTCATGTGGCAGGGTCAGGCCAGAGACCAGCTTCACCGTGACAGCCAAAGACAACTTGAATATCACAATGAACAGCATCAGCACCCAGCACAGAACTGCCCTCTTCAACATCATCTTAGCTTGTGGTGGGGACCAGGGATGGCAGGGGTTCCCACATGCAAAAAAATGCACCAAGATTATGATAAAGAGGACCCTCAAAATCCACTGGTAGCTGAGGCCATTGGAGACTTGAACTAGTGTCTCTTCTTCTGTCCAAAGAAACAGATCTCTAGGACCACAGCTAGAAGCAACCTACAGATGAAAACAATCCTCAAACCCCCCTCAAGAAAAACTGCCTCCTCACAGAGTATCTACTGAGTATGTACTTGTCTGACTACAGGGCAAAGGGGAAACTGAGTGAAGGTTCAATGATGCTTCCTGGTCTTTCCTACTCCTCTGTACTCAGATGTGGGCTCCAGCAGGCAACATCTGGAAGACATCCTGGCTGGCAATTTGGAAAAAGGAGCAGAGACCAGAAAAGAAACTGAAAAAAAGATACTGAAGAGGTAGGCTGAAGATGGCAAGAACAGCTACCCCAGCCCACACAATACTCCTCATCTCCTTACTGAATAATGACCCATGCTCCCTTAGCACAGACAGCCAGACACAAGGATAGGTGGCTGGGCTTCAGGTTTCTGGGTAGCAGGGACAGAGGGCAAGAAGGCAATTTTGATGCCCCTTTTGCTTATTTCACTGTGGTCCACTTCCTCTGAAATCATCTGGACTTTGTTATGTGAAACAGGTATCCCCCCAGAAAAGCTGTAACTCATGTAAAAGGCAGCTGAAGGAACCAGGCCTGTAGTGACACACCCTTGATAACGTGTCTCCTCAACAGCCCACATAACCCACAACTCCTGCACCATGGAGCAGTCTAATGACAAAGGCGATGCCCTTTCCTACCTCCAGCACCGGGACTCAGCTCGGAATCCTTGGACATTATTATCCCCTCCAATCAAGTACACGAAGTTGTTGAGAACTGCAATGCCCTGGTTGGACATTCGAGGAGCCAGAGAAGCAGTGAAGTGCTTCCACTCTCCCAGGAGGGGATTCAGGTACTTAGCCTGGTCACTGAGGATTGTGGATGGTGTGGAGTGAATGCCTCCAAAGCCCACAACACACTGGAAGTCTGAGCGCAGCTCTGTGTGTGGGCCCTGAAGGCTGGGCTGCAGGCTCTCATTCCTGTGGTACATAAGGGCACTGGCCACTGTCTCCCTCAGTGGGCTAGGACCAAGCTTGTCGTGCAAACGCTGGAGGGCCTCAGCTTCCATCAGGGGAAACCGCACAGTCTCTAGGAGCTTGGGGGGCTCGTGCAGGGAGATCTGGTCAGCCTGTACTTGCTCCAGGGGGTAATGGTAGAGCAAGGCTCCTTCATACACCTCAGTCTCACAGGAGACCTCCAGGCGATTGCTGCTGAGGAGGGAGTAGACCTTCTCCAAGGGCAGCTGGCGGTACTTGTCAGTTCTTGAGAAGGCCACAAAATTTTTGAGGATGTAGGCATCTAGCTGTTGGGTCAGACGGTTCAGGTCAAAGACCTCTGCCAGGTGGTAGACATCAAGGATGTTCTCCTCATCTACCCAGGACATGAGGAAGTCACAGCAGAAGTGGATAATCTCTGGGATCTGTAAAAAGAAGGACACTACTCAAGACCAAGCTGGAGAACTGCATCTGGGAGACAGGATGACAGCGGAGACAAGCCTTACATAGCTGGCTGGTCCTTATAGCTGCCCTTCTTCTCTCAACTGTCCCCAACCTTTTCTGACAGAAAATTGGGACTTCCCACAGGCTTATTTAAAACCTGCTCCGTTTTAAACAAACACAGGGCATGTGTGGCCGTAACCTCTCATACCCTCAACCCTCATCTACAAAAGGACAAAGTAGGAAGGAACAGCCTGAGGATGAGTACAAACACCACCACAGCACAGACAGTGCTTTCAGAGCCAAAGTGCAGGTGGGAAAGAAGGAAGCAGGATCTGTTATAGACTGTCACTTTTTAGAAGGAGCCTGTGGCCACTCCCTGCCACTGGCATTCTCTACAAGAGCCAAGGAGCTACAACTAAAAGTACACATGGCTGTCCTCAGCCAGCATTCTCTGAACACATCAGCTGGAGCTGCAAAGCATGCCCTGCCAGGCCCAGGCCTCACGCCACTGACCACTGCACTTAAAACTAACAGCAAGGCATCTCCAGACATTCACCAGACTTGTTGAAAAGTTGCCAAGCTATCTTCGGGCCTCTGCCTGGGCTGAGAGACCCACCCCACTCCAGAGGGTACAGGACTCCCAGTTGGGCAGCATTACCAGTCCTAGCACTGTAAGGAAGGAAAGCAAGCCAAAGAGGAACTGAGGAAAGAGGAAGTTGAAACGAAGGTAACACAACACAGCCCTGAGGGCTGTTCAGGAACACCTCGGACTTGATAGGCAAGGTTAAACGAGACAAAGACAAAAGGAAAACTTCCTGTACAACAAACTATTTACAGATAAAATCTTTGATTTTAAATAAGATTTCAATAAGTAGCCCAGGCTGGCCTCAAACTCACAGCAGCTTGTCTTTGCCTCCCAAGTGCACCACTACATCCAGCATATTCTTTAGGAAAACAAGATTTTTGAGTCTTCCCAAAAAAACCAGAAATGCAGTATGTAGCTCTTTACAGGTTCTACTTCAGAGGGTAAAACGGTCTATAGATTATATATAAACATTTTTGTTTGAGATAAAGTCTAGCTATACATATATAGTCCAAGTGGTCCTTAAACTCACTATATATACCAGCCTAGCCCTACAGTGACTACAGATGACTTCTCCTGCCTCCAACCCTCCAAACTTAGATTACAAGTGTGCATTACCACAACAGTTTGCTGTTATTTTTGATTTTGAGACAGGATCTCACTATGTAGCTTGCCTGTCCTGGAACTCTGCAGACCAGGCTGCCCTTGAACTCACAGAGAATTGCCAGCCTCTACCTACCAGGTACTAAGATCAAGTACTCAATTAAAGTGCCTCAATGCCCAGCTTTATCACATCAATTGATACAGGACAGTATAACAACTACTTGTGTAGCATTTAGTTTATATGGTGTTACAGTAATCTAGAGATGATCTAAGGTATACAAGGAGCATATAAGAAAGTTACTTATCAACAATACTCCATTTTATAAGAAGGCTATAGACCTTTCGTAGCCACAGGGAGTCCTAGAACCAGTTCTCTGAGAATACCACAAGACAACTATCTCTGACTCAACTAGTATTACCAACAAATTAACTACTGCATACAGAGAATTTTTACTAATATTTTAAGTCAATTAATACATGTTTAGAATTCTTTTGTTTGTTTGTTTTTGAGACAGGGTTTCTCTGTGTTTCACAGCCCTTAGCTGTGCTGGACTTGCTTTGTACACCAGGCTAGAACTCACTGAGATCCACCTGCCTCTGCCTCCCCGAGTGCTGGGATTACAGGCAAGTGCACCACTTTGATTAAAAAGACATGCCTGCTTGCCAGATAATATGCTAATTAGGGGCTGAATGGACACCTACAATCAATCATACTCCATATTGGATTCTCTCCCACGGTTCTCTGTGGTTCCTGAATATCTTCATTTGCCATTGTTTAATTCCCTAGCCAGTTTCTAGTCTTCCTCTTTTCCCTAAAATATTACCTCTGCCATGGGCCTGAGCTTTGAAGACAAAGTTTTAGGGCAGAATGTAAGAGCCAATGGCCCTGAGTAGGAATGAGCAGTGCCACCCTAGAAATAACCCATCCCCTTGCACCAAGATTTCTTGCAGTGTGCCCTCTGCTGGGTGGAATCCCAAATAGATACAGCCACGAACTCCAACCAGACAGATTCAGAATGGAAAGTACTTGCCTAAAGTAAGCAATCAAGGCTGATTTTGCTAGGATTCAGAGCCAAGACCTGATCAGAGGACACTGTAAAGAGTCACCAGGTCTAGTTTAAGACACATCAAATGGGGGCAACCACCAGCTGCAAAGGCTAAACTTGATTTGCAGATTCTACCAAGTTCTAGCAAGTAAAATTTGTTTTACAACAATGCTGCCTATGTTCAAACTGGTACAGAAACGATCTGGCTTGCCCCTCACCTTCCCCTCCTTCCCGATACTCCTATCATTGCAGCTCATGGTAGCGGCTGGCCTCCCTCGCCAGCCTGGCTTGGTATTAGCATACCTAATGGGACACTGTCTCACGTTCCCACTCAGGGGCCTTCTGTGGGACTGAACTCTGTCTTCCCCCTGAAGAAGCCATTGGGGCCCTCTCTCTAGCCTCTTTGCTGAACATAGGTGGGGAAACTGGGTTTCTTCAGTAGCCACCCTCTGCCTCTTCAGCTCTGGAGTAGCTGGGCCTCTGCAGTAGGCAGGTCACTGGGTCCATCTTCCCTGCCTTGCTGCGGCCATGAACTCTGGAGGCCCTCTGCTGGAGGGAGTCACCAGTCTTCTTCCTTGTCTCTTCCCTCTTTTTTCCAGCTGCTTTACCTAAAAGTTAGTTTTGGACTTTTTTTTTAAGGAAACAAAATGAAAAGAAACCTATAAAAATATTTTTTTTTTTTTAAATGTAAAGATTTTATGTGGCCGAGTGTGGTGGCTCTCGCCTTTATTCCCAGCACTTGGCAGGCAGAGGCTGGAGGATCTCTGTGAGCTTGAGGATAGCCTGGGCTACATAGAGAAACCCTATCTCAAATAAACAAACAACAACAACAAAAAGGATTTTATGTGTATGAGTGTTTGACTGAGGAGAACCTAGGTCCACTTTTCAGAACCCACATGGTGGTTCACAACCATCCTCAGCTCCAACTCTAGAGGACTTCATCCTTTTTCTGACATCTTTAGGTGTAAGGCACATATGCTGTGCAAGCAAAACACTCAAATACATAAAAGAAAGCTAATATATATTTTTTTTCCTAATGTTAAAAAAGATCAGCTGCCATTCTTACAGGGTACCTGGGTTTGTTTCCCACCAGCCACAACATTTGTAGCTCCTGTTCCAGATCATCTTCTTCTGGCCTGTGCCAGAACCGGGCATGCATGTGGTTCACATACATACATACAAGCAAAACACAAAACATACAAAAATAAAAAAACAGAGACGGAGAGAAGGGACCACGCACTGTGGTACATGTCTATAGTGCCAGGAGCTTGGGGCTGAGGGCACACTGTGAATTTAAGGCCTGTGTGTGGTTAACACTACAAGACTGTTGAGAAAGCGAGAGAAGAGTGGACAAGCACAGCTGGCGGGCAGGAGAAGCTTGTATGTGCTACAGGGCAGGCGATTCTCAAAAGCTGCTAGCCCTCACAGAATATAGAGCATCACAAACACAGGCCTCAGGGTTAGCCAACCTGTGATGTTTTTCCTAGCAGGGAAATCAAGGCAAAGGAAGGAAGCAATAAAAAAAGGAAAGGGCTTGGGAGCCAATTTGGGAATGCTGGCTCATCCTGCAATGCCAGCACTCCGGAAGCTGAGGCAGGACTGCCATGACATCAGCCATCCTAAACTACAATGTACTCTAGGACAGCCTGGGCGATAGTGAGATTTTCTCAAAAAATGAGGGAGAAGATGGGGCTGGAGACATGGCTTAGCAATGAAGAGCACTGGCTGCTACAAAAGACTTGGCTTTGATTCCCAACAACTACACAGCTGACCGCAGCCACCTGTAACTCCAGGTTCAGAGGCCCTAATACCTTCTGGCCTCCACAGGCAGTGTATACAGGTGGCACACATATAAAATAAAGTAAAAACAAACGATCATCTAGAAAGGAAAAGGGACCGGTGAAATGGCTCAGCAGTTAAAACTACATATTGCTCCCACACCAACATGGTGGCTTATAGTCATCCGAAACTCCACTGTTATGGGATCCGATGCCCTCTCCTGACATCCACAGGCACCAGGCACATGCATGGTATACATACATACATGCAGATAAAATGCTCATACACATAAAACAAACAAACTTTTTTTTTTTAAGTATAAAAAGAGTCAAGGACAGAAGAGGGCAGACCAAGGCGTTTGGAACCACTGTGCTTTAGTTCTCCAGGTCAACAGCAAGGCGGCCTCCCTGTGTCCTTTATTACTTGGTATTCTTGCCCTCCTGACCTATCTCATACCAGCAGTCTTCACAGGTATCTGGGGAAGACCCCCTTGAGTAGGAATCTTCTTGCTCAACAAGGCAACACTCACCTGAAGTTGGCAGGCAGCAACCAGGGTCTCCTGCACATTGTTCAGGCTGAGCTCTAGTTCAGAAGTGTATATGAAGTGTAGGATTTGGCACATGGCATTGTAAGACACGCCGTGGATCAGGACCTCTTCCTGTTCCATCTCCTTCAATCCCCCAGCAAACATTCCTCTGTAAGGCAACGAGACAAGGCATTGAGAGTTAGTCAGGACTTGAGTGTGAGCCACAAAAAGCACTCAGAAGTGAACGAGGGTTAGTGGTGGGGCTGGCTGGAAACAGTCTGCGCGTGGGAACACTGATTGCTCTGTGCTCTGAGTAAACAGTCTGCAAAGGAAAGTCAGTCTATGGAAGGAGCCTGACCACGCTGGCATCCACCCTGGAAATCACTTGGCTTCCTTTCCATGGTCCCAGGAACACTACGTGCATTTTCTGGGAGCAGGCCAGGGCCTGTTTGCCTGCTGCATCGTCTACCGCTGCAGTTCTCAGGTCAGACAGCAGTAATTCACGTATGTTTGGAAAGAATGGGCAAAAGACAAGTAAGTAAGGGATGAGAGTCACTGTATTCCATATATTTAATGAGTGTTTACCACATGTGGAGTATTGAGGCAGAATAGAAAGACAGAGAAAATTAAGGTGACATAAGGCGAAAAGCCCTCCACACGGGTTCTAGTTGCCTTTCTTGTTGACAGTCAAGAAGCTTCACTATAACTGGTCAGGCAAAATTATCTACTAAGGTATTATATGTTTTCCTAAAGACATCGCAAACAAAGATATTAAAAACAACATATAAGCCAGGTAGGGTAGCACATGGAGGCACAGGCAGATGGACCTCAGTGAGTTTGAGGCCAGCCTCTCTATATAATGAGTTCCAGGATAGTCAGGGCTATATAGAGAAAGCAAAAATAACATAACATAACATAACATAACATAACATAACATAACATAACAT